AGGGAAAGTTCTCAGTTTAGAAGGTGCTGAGGCTGGGCATGCCTTCAAGTCCTGACACTCGCCTAGATAAAGGACAAAGAAATGAAAACTGCACGGGGACTCATAGGGCTGGTAGGGCTTCAGCTACTTTTGCTGATGCGAAATCACACCAAATTGTGAAAAAGATTTGTGATGGTAAAAGGGTCTTTACAGCTCACCTAACCCAACACCTCTGTGTCTACAGAGGAGGAAACTGAGATCCAGAGAGCTGTCCAATGACACCCAGCTGGTAGATGCTGAAGCGGCTCTGGTTACCAGCTCTCCTACCTTCCAAGCCAAGGAACTTCCCGTTGCATCACAGCTGCTGCAGAGATGAATCCGGGACGCTTGCTTTTGTTGCCTGAATCATCAAAACCAGCCCCCCATCTTCTCAGGGGCCCAACACTTGAGTAATGATTCTAACGTTCAAGGCATAGAACGTGCCTGTCCTTTCCCATAATTTTAATTATGTGTACGAATTACTCCCCTCACTCCCTAACCCCCGACGCCCTTGGTTACCGGTGTTGGAATGTTTTTCTTAATAAAACACTAAAACCAAACGTGAGTCCTCTGTGCCTGTGTGGTGAATTCAGTAGAGACCAGTCCCTGAAAATTAAATACTGAGAAATTCTAGAATGCTGCTGCTGTGGGCGCGGCACTTGGGATACAATAGAAACAGTGGGACTGTTTTAGTTTTTAAAACTATGTGGGGACTTCCCTGGCGGTCCAGTGGTGAAGACTCCGCGCTTCCACTGCAGGGGGCGTGGGTTCCATCCCTGGTGGGGGAACTAAGGTCCCTCATGCCTCGCAGCACGGCACCCCCCGCCAAAAAACCCAAACTAAGTGAGTTGTGGTGTTTCAAGAAAGCTCAGCCTTATAACCACTAGACGTTCTTACTGATTAAACAGAAGGACACTGCCCATTTAAATCACTGTAAGCAGGAACAAACTCTCTCTCTGGAGGGCAGAATGGAAGAGTATCGGCCTGTTTTCACTCATTAGATGCTCTGTAGTCGACAGCCAACAGCTCCCCGCCTCTGGCTTTGGCTGCTTCCTCTGGCGATGACAACATCCTCGCCTGAAAGTCGACCAGATGACTTACCAACTTTGGGCCCCAGGGCTCTCAGCTCTTTGATGCTAATAAGTTAGAACTTTCCTGTTTTTTTTTTTTTTTTTCAGGACACCGTCATCTGTGAGATGCTTATAAGTGTTTCTTCAGAAAATAATTTTGGGAAGTGCAGGTTTCATCAAAATTAACATCTTTTAATGGCAACCTCAGAGCTTCCAACGCACTCACGTTATGAATCCCTCCAGAAGTTGGTGCAGTAATGCATTCTCCCCCGAACACCTGAACACAGAACCTTTCAAACAAAGAAAGGCTAATTAACACTTCCCAGGACCCCAAAGTCCTATAGACGACAACATGGGGAAATGCTGTAATAAATGGTTGATAAAATATGTCTTTAAATGACAGTAATAGTACAGAAGGTACAAAACCAATTAATATTTAAGAATGCTCAGATTTTTTTACTGAATTCTTAGCCTTAGAAGTCAAAATGGTTATCACTTAAATTCTTGACCTCTTATACTGAAAATTGTTCTAAAGAAGCACAATTCATCTCTCAGGAAAGGAAAGAGAGGAGTGTGGTCGCAGGACCGACTCAGCACAAGAGACCGCTAATATCAAAGCTGCAGTGGGACCTTCCCATGCCCTGACCCTTGGGCTGGGCTCCTTTCTGGGTCCACACTGTCCAAGAGCGAGGCAGGGGGTGAGCACGTCCCACGAAGGCCCCACCTTGTCACTGCCTTTGGCTGAGACCCATTCCTGGGGTACCACACAGTAAGCAGGGTGACTTCAGAGGGATGAGGCTGGGAAAACTAGGAATTAGTGCAAGAGGTGGAGGCCACCTGAGACCAAAGAAGTAGATGCAGTGTATAAAGTCTTCCCCTAGGCTCTGGAAATTCCATCCGACTCCTGCGGTCTCTGCTAGTTAAGGTCGGGTCTCTGAGCAGACCGCTCTACCCCACCAGGTGGGAGGTGCTCACAGGGGGCCGGCTTCCTACTATTTAGAGATCCCCACCGTCTAACCCCACCCCGATACTCAGCAGTTGTTGCTGCCACCCCTGCGGTTTCCACTAGATTGGGTTGCTCAAGGCTGCCCTTCACGCCCAGGTAAACGGGATTTCACCTGAATAGAAATATGAGGCAAAGACACAACAGGGTTACGAGGTTGAGGACCCCTCGGCCCAAGCCCACGGGCTCCCTGGCCTGGAGCACAGCTGGAAATCCAATTCCAAAATGAAAAATTAGAAAGCTGCTTTCTTCTTGCTAACTCTCAAGTCAGCCCATCACTAATATATCAGTGGCTAAAAATCTGCACCTCATTTTTCAGTGAGATTCTTCCTTTCAACGAAGGACATAATCTAAGAGGTAAGTTACACATCCCCCTCCCCCAAGCCTTCTCCACCACGGGACAAAAGTGAAGAGATTTTAATCCTGAGTAATAATTAAAAAGTGGTCGAAAAATGTTTTGAAAATGTCTGAAAAATGCCCAAAAGACTGATTACCCCTGCTTTTAAGCACCTCTGGGTGCCCAGGTCCCACATGCTTCAGGCTTTAAAGACTGTCACACTAAGCTCTCTGAGTCATTCCAATGACCCCAAGCTGCCCAAGCCTGAGCTGACTGCGAGCCGACCTTTCGCGTTCCTTCTAATGCATGGTGGCTTCCTCATGACTCAACCCGCTTGCTCCTCAGGATTTGCTTTGTAGTTTTTCCACGTGAGACAGCTGGTCCCCAGCTGTTTGCTGTCCTCAGCTGATGGCAACGGCCTTCCACCCTTTTGTGAATCTCAGGTTACACGGAAGAACCGCGATCTCTTGAGCGCCCAGCAGTTCTGGTCCTTCCATTCCCCTGCATTTCTTGGTAGAGATGATTTGCCCTGGGAGCCCCTCGCCACCCAGAGATGGCCCACGCCCAGCTAACCTCTCCCAACAGACGACAGTGTTCCTGCCACTTTCCCCTCCCGAGGAGTCAGAGCTGAACTCTGAGCTCAGGAGGATGACAGCAGCTTTCTGGCCTACAAGGGTTGGAGATACAGGAATGCCTTTTCCTTCCTCTCTGGCCTACAAGGGTTGGAGATACAGGAATGCCTTTTCCTTCCTCCCTCCCCTCCTCCCCTCCACACTTAAATAAGGCAATGACCCAACATTCAAGCTGATCACATGCCTAAGTGATCAGACATCTCGGTTGAAAATAATGTAAAGCAGCTTCTCAAACTCTGCGAAGAAAGGCCACCTTCTAATAGTTCTCCACGTCAGGGTGGACTGGGCTTGCTAAATACAATAAAAATGAACGACTGCAAAGTGCTTCTCAACACTCTCAACTTCTGTTTTTTTTATCTGAACATGAACCAAATAACAGCTCATGGGCAGGCACGGGGCCACAGACTATACTTTCAGTAGCGCTGAAATGGATTGCTGCGTTACACAGAAGTGTTTCATGTTTCTATCCAGCCCCCCTTTTCTTTTCCTTGAGAGAATCCAGTGTTTCTGGCCTCATCTCTGCTCCTCCTTGTTTGATCTCAGCTTGTAACTAAGTTTCACCGATCTGTCCATGAGCACACCACACCTCCACGCTTGGTGCAGAGCTTCTCCCAGTACAAAACCAGCCGCACGCCTTGCTGCTAGCAGGCAGCTCTTTCACTAGTTCTCTAGGGGTCTGACCTTCTACCTTTCTCTTACCCAGATCCCACCTACCATTCATACAAATGCCCCTTCCTGCCCATTGCTTCCTGAGGAAGCCTACTGGGTTTCCAAGTGCCTGCCTGCCTGCCCATCCCTCCCCTCCCTCCCTCCAATTAGGGGGATAATTTTACTTGCCCTACTCACCAGTGTCGTTGGGGTATTTGTCTCCCTTGGTGCACGTCCTCCCATCGTCCTCCTGGATGTAGCCCTCCCGGCACTCACAGCGGTAGCTGCCCAAGGTGTTGATGCAGATGTGCGCACACAGCGTCTCGTTGCTGGTGGCACACTCGTCGATATCTGGGTTTGAACCAAATGCAGAGAACACTAAGACAGTTTCAGAGAGATCACTTCCAACACAACAGGCGACCTTAGGCTTGGCCCTTCTGTTAATGTCTGCAAAGGACACTCTGCCAGACCTCTGTTACCGAAGCCTGGAACAAAGCAGGAAGCTAGAGATGTGGGCCATTCGTGACAAGAGCACTTCAGGCAGTGTCACCATTGTTACAAACTGATCAGTGATGGGGCTCCTGGTTGTGGCTCTGCCACCACCAATTCTCGTGGCTTGGTGCAGGCACTGCTAGTCTCCGAAGTTCTCACTATAGAAGATGGCAGTGAAGCCTGCCCTAAATACTTCTGCAGGGCTCCCTGGAAGAGGAAATGAGATAACAGATGGCAACACATTTTGGAAAACGACTATTGTAGAAATGATTTCCTGCAAAGACCCTAGTATGCTGAGGGTTTTTATGTTCCCTTTACGACCAGAGGTTCCTAACAGCATGGTGGTGACCTAAGGCCACTAGGAATGGCTCCTTCCCAGTTAGGAGACGTGATGATACCTGGGAAAAGGCACTTCTGATAAAAGAAAATAGTCATAATGGGTCTAACGGAGAGCGTTTTCCCCAGGAAATTTCAGCCCCATCCATGACCCAAACAGACCCCTCCTGAGTGGTGGAAATGAGCCACGACACCATCAAACAAGTAACCAGAGAAAGTCCACGTGAACTGTGCACATCACAGACTTGCCCCCCTACTGAACGGGTGGAAACAAAGCCATTTCCCAGCAGGGGAAGAGAAGGAGGCCCAAACCCATTTCCCGCTCACTGGCTGAAGATACCGGGTGGCGGCCAGGACACACAGCCCCAGACTGTGCACATGTGGCCAGCGGACAGAGCCCAACCTTGCGCTCCAGGATGCTGACAACGTCCTAGCCACTCCCTGGATAAGCTGCCTGGGACCCACCCCTGGAAGGCCCTGTGTGCCCACGAGGAGCATGTGGTCATCTGGATGTTCCCCTGGCAGTTCATACTATGCATACTATGTCACCCGTAAGCTAAGATGTCACAGCTGGCACCTCCCCTGCAATTCCTCAGGCTGGCCACGTCTGTCCACGTGCCCCTGCCTTCAACCTAAGGGCAAGGCTGCCTCTACTGTCCACAGGAGGAAGGACAAGGTTGAAAGGAGAGAGAAACAGGTGGGACTTTTTTTTTTTTTTTTTTTTTTTTTTTG